AAAAGGGTAGCGATTATTAGGAATGCAGAAGTTAGGATTCATAGAACACAATGATTTTTTTTTTTATGTAATGGCATCAAATGCCATGGCAAACTCTTTAGATTGTTTTTTCTTTGATTGCTTCATGTTCACTTTTTTGTGTGTTCCCAACATTTAAGAAAGACTTTCGTCTCAAACCTTATTTTTTGTGTTTTGTTTATCTTGATGTCGCACGTTTCGCGGACCTTCTTTTTCAACCTAGGTAGCTACATTTACATACAAGACTCAGTCACTTGTTTGTCAGTTGATTCTTTTTTTATTTGCTATGGTTCTTTCCAGTTGGTGGTTTTTGTGTCTGGCTTTTTTTTTTCGCATTTCTTTCTTAACTTCAAAGTGTTTTTATTTTGTTCTACACCAACGTATGATAGAATAGCCCAAACCATTGCTTATGTCTGGTGGTTAAGGCAAGTACACATTGGTTCCCATTTACCACCTCATAATTGCTGATTTTTGAAGTGTTTTTCAATTTTGTTATTTTTTTTCATTGACCATTGATCTGCCGTCCTACCGATTTGCTTTTCTTTATAGCGACTCACAGGCATTTTTGGTCATCCTCGGTTGTCCTCAAAGAGTTCTGATGAGCTAATTTTTTGCACTGTTTCGTTTTTTTTTGTATTTTTGAGAGATTGTTTCACACAGTTATATTTGTATTTCACGAAGACTATGTTAATCTCTTTTACGAAGTCCTCAACTCTATGTGTAACATGTGCTTTCAATGTTTCGTCTCTTGTGCTTTATGTCACTCGTTTTACTCGTAGGACGTGTGAGCACGAATTTTCTGCTGCACAGTACACTCGTCCTTTAGTCAGCAAACGGATATATTTCGTCTTTGTTACTTGCCTATAAGTGACGCAGTTGGCAATATTATTATTTGCCTATTATTCATGATGCTTTTCTTGGTATTCTCAGATTGCTTTTTTTGAGATTTTTGTGTCGTCTAGGTTTTCCCCCACCAGGCATCAGCACGATGATTGTGAGATTCCAATTGATTAATGTGTATTTATTTACACGGTGTCTACACTCATTTGACCGTGTTTTTGTCGTACTACTTTTTCATCGTCTCTTATCGACTTTAGTGCATTTTAGGTTTGCCTTGATGTAAACCCAATCTTGAGCTATTGGATGATCTTGTCTATATCGCATTTTTTATTAGACGCATTTATCGATCTCCATTATAATATAATGCAAAATCGATATCATTGTTGATAATACTGTTCTTCTTCTTCTTATTAGGAAACGTAAGCATTTAACGTGTAACCCAATAATAACAATAATTGACATATATCTAAGCTTGTTCACTACGAGAATGCGTCGATCAAGTTGGATATCCTTCGTGCATAATCGTAACACGCTTAGCATGGATGGTACACAAATTAGTGTCCCCCGAACAACCCGCCTAAGTATGCTTCATGGTTGAACTCTGGAAACGAAGGTCAGTTTCGAAGTCTTGAGCGATTTCTCGGAACGAATCATGGAAAGGAAGCTTACGGATTAAAAGCTAAGTAGTACTATTCTGGTAACAACGAACGTATCTCCCGTAAGACAACAGTCCCAGGTCCTATGTCTGTGGGTATAAAAAGTTAATCGTGCGTTACGTGTGACATCGAACGACCTAGTTTAGCGTATACAACATATACACCAGTGGCTTATGAGTAGCAACAGTCAGTGAATATACAACAGAGTGTCGCATGAAAATTTACTGTTTAAAGAGTGAAGCATGACGCTACCACTACACACAATAGGTTGTTGAGTAGGTATTCGATTATTCAATGTCCGGCTTACCAATTTACGGTGCGTTATTAAATTCAATGTACGACTTAGTACTTTGACGGCTCCCGACCAGCTCTAATGCTTATTATGACCAATGGAGAGAGTATGCTGATCAAAAATAAATCGACCACACATCATCAGTTTCCGGTATATTATATTTAGGGCGAACCCTGTTTGGTTGAACGGGGCAGTAATAAGAAGCCAAATACAACAAATTCAACTGGACAAGTAGTTTATTTCAGACAATCGTTCATGTAGACATAATAACGAACGTGTAGACCGGTTCACTTATCTTGAGAATCTCATCAGTGCCGATGGCCTGGTGACTGACGAAATCTCAGCACGGATACAGAAGGCTCAATTGACTTTTGCCAACCTGCGTCACTTATGGCGTACGCGAGATATCCGTTTGCTGACTAAAAAACCAGTGTACTGTGCAGTGTTTCGCTCCGTCTTACTTTATGGCTGTGAATCATGGCCAGTGAGAGTAGAAGATATTCGTAGGTTACTGGTTTTTGATCATAGGTGTCTTCGAAGCATTGCTCGTATATCCTGGGACACCCGAGTGAGCAACGCTGTTATTAGGAATCGGGTGCTAGGTAAGAATGGCAGATCAATAGATGAAGTATTGAAACTTCACCAGTTAAGGTGGTTGGGACATGTGTTGCGTATGCCCAACCACCGACTGCCTCGTCGAGCTTTAGTTTGTAGTTTAGGAATAGGTTGGAAGAAAGCTAGGGGTGGCCAAACCAAAACATGGCAGAAATCTATGAAGTCATTGACGAGTGGACTTAGCCATGTCGGTAATTGTCGACTACCTGGTTGGGGTCTGCGAGATGATAATAATCGATAGTTAGATAGATACCCTGAATGACATGGCTCAAAACCGTTTGCAATGGCACCGGTGAATTTATTCTTTGTGTTCTCTCAAATCCTAATCTTCTGGATTCTTCAACACCTCTAGTTTTCACTTTCTAAACTTTTCTCACTGAATCATGCTTCTTGAATAATATCTTCTAATCCTTAGCCTCTCCTGTTACTTCTAATTCTCTTACTACCTCTTCTACTATTGGATTTGAATTGACAATTACATCTCTATGTGCAAATGTGGTATGGCGACATGAACTGATGTACGTACTTACGTACGAAGTTCTACGTTGCATGTGATCGACCAACTGACTGACATAATAACGAAAAGCATACAACAAGTAAAGCAAAGCAAAGCAAAGCGAAATGGAGCAGAGAAAGTCAGAGAGAGAGAGAGAGAGAGAGAGAGTCAACATGATAAAAGTAAATAGTTGATAGTAAGGAAGATGAGATAGTTTAATTGGAAAAAAAATAATAGTAACACACACACACATATATTTCACATACAGTTGATTGGTTACTTACCTCTGTGAATAACTTTAAGCGCTGTTTTCAAATAATCCAAAGCTGAAACAGTCTTTTTTTCATGTTTAGAAAACAAAATAAAATCGAAAATTCCGATCAAAATCAGAACACGGTTATGAACAGGAAATATCGATTATATTCAAATAACAAGATTTAAAATGGAAGTTTCCAAAGGAAATATACGTTAGTATATATAAATATATTTATAGTTTCTTTACATGAAAAGATTCTAGGAAGGTTCTGTCAGTATTGGCTAGCGCGCGCTGATTGGTGGATGCGAAAGAGCCAATCAGTGTGTGCAACAACGCAATCATGCTTTCATCATCCAATCTATGTCCGTCCCACTAACACTATAGATTAATTATCATCTCTTAATGGATGGATTACAATTATGAACAACCACAAAGTATATTAAATGATTCGATAAACTGCCACGGATAACACTTGGGATCTTACACACATCTTGTAACGACGAATGCTTAAACATAAATGAAGTGGTTTGGTTTTCGAACATAGGTGTCTTTAAAGGATTGCTCGTATATCTTGGCACAATGGAAAAAGTGGTGTCGTTAGGAAACGTGTACTAGGTAAGGATGGCAGATCGATGGGTGAAGTATTGAAACTTCATCAGATGAGTTGGTTGGGACATGTGTTATTATGTTTGCCCGACCACCGATTGCCTCAACTAGTTTTGTTTTCTGGAGTAGAACTAAGTTGAAAGAACTCTAGGGGTGGCTAAACCAAAACATGGCACAAATCAATCAAGTCATTGGCAACTGGACTGAGTCATGTTGGTAGGTGTACACTTTTACCTGATTGGGGTCCGCGAGACGAAAGTCACCAATGGTTAGAGACCTTGAATGACATGGCACAAAACCAGTTGTAATGATGCTGTTGCATCCATTCATTGTGTTCTCTCAAATTCTCATCTTCTGTACTTCTCCTCATCTTCTCAATCAGTTTCTTTCTTCTTGAAAAGTTTTCCTCGAAATCTACTCTTCCTCATTGTAGTGAATACGTCTACTCAACTCTACACTACTGTATCCAGATATATATTATGCTTTGCGATGTAGAATTATGTTGGAAGAAAGTTAGGGGCGGCCAGATCAAAACATGGCACAAATCCATGAAGTTATTGACAGATGGACTGAGCTATGTTGGTAGGTGTAGACTACCTGGTTCGGGTCCGCGAGACGATAGTAATCGATGATTATAGACCCTGAAACACATCGATCAAAATCGTTCGCAATCGCACAGATGCATTCATTCTATATGTTCTCCCAAACCATAACCTTCAGAATTCTTCATCAACTTTATCTTTTTCTTCTTGGGTTTCTTTCATTAGATTTTACTTCTTGAATAATATCTTCGAACCTTAATCTCTCTGATTACTGTTAATACTTCTACTTGATCCACAACTATGGGATTTGAATTGAAAATTGCGTCTCTCTGTGCTAATGTGGTTTGGCAACTTCTACTAAAGTACGTACGTACGAAGTTCTATGTTGTTGTTGACTGACTGATTTATATATATAAATAAATATATATAATGTATGGGGTCGATTGTCACTTTCCCGCTAACCACACCGTGGAAGGGTGTTTCTTCAAGAACCTGAAAAGGAAAGTATATTAGTGTTTCTCTTGGAGACTTGGGAGCGTGACCGCAGAGCCCAAGGGACAACTGATTGAGGCCGGTCACACAATACCTTTTTATGAAGGGTTTTTTGAGTATTAGCACCGCCCTTTTCGAAAGCCCTTAATGGACACCCTTACCACAGAAGACGCGAATCCGTGAGTTAAGGTGAGGTGTGACATTTTCAGGGTCGACCGACTCTAACCCTTCCTTCCTTCTGAGAAGGCAGCATCACTGCAGATACTGGTTGTCCGAGGGAAACACCTTACTGCTGTCACAACCCTCCATCACAGTCAGCAGTACGACTTCGCCCTCAGACCTTGAGTAGCTGGTTTTAGTCTGATCGTTCTCCAATCGACCTGCCTGGCATGGTTGAACCTTCAGGAACATATGTTCCAGCCAATATAGCTCTGTTGGATCATCACGATAGGCAAGCCCGACCACCACGTCAAGGCAGCAGCGACTAACGGGTTGATGCCTTGGTGTCTGACAAAATCTCGGCACGCATACACAAGGATCAGAGATGACCAGTGTAGCAGCAGCCTCTGCAGCAATAGGTCTCAACATACATAAAGGAAAAAGCAAAATTCTCCGATGCAACACAACATGCACCAACCAAATCACTTTGATGGAGATGCCTTGGAGGACGTTGACACCTTTACATATCTGGGCAGCATCATCGACGAGAAAGGTGGATCCGATGCAGATTTGAGGTTGCGGATTAGCAAAGCAAGGGCTGCATTTCTACAGTTGAAAAATATCTGCAACTCCAAACAACTTTCAACCAAAACCAAAATAAGGATTTCCAATACAAACGTCAAGACAGTTTTACTGTATGGAGCGGAAACATGGAGAACTACCAAAGCCATCATTCAGAAGATACAGGTGTTTATTAACAGTTGTTTACGCAAAATACTTCGGATTCGTTGGCCAGAAAAGATCAGCAACAACGTACTGTGGGAGAGAACAAACCAGATTCCAGTGGAGGAGGAAATCAGGAAGAAGCGGTGGAAGTGGATAGGACACACACTACGAAAAGCACCGAACTGCGTCACGAGACAAGACTTCACATGGAACCCTCAAGGCAAAAGGAAAAGAGGAAGGCCAAAGAACACACTACGCCGAGAAATAGAGAAAGATATGAGAGGAATGAACAAACATTGGACAGAACTGGAGAGGGAAGCCCAGGACAGAGTTGGTTGGAGAAAACTGGTGGGCGGCCTGTACTCCATTGGGGGTAACAGGCCTAAGTAAGTAAGTCATACACAAGGATCGACTGGCTCCTAGCAACTTGCGTCGCCCACGGCGTAAGTGAAATATCCGTTGGCTGACTAAAGCAGGAGTGTACTGTGCAGCAGTTCGCTCTGTCCTACTATACAAATGCGAAACATGGCCGTTAGAAGAGTGAAGGACATTCGTCGGCTATTAGAATTCGATTAAAAATGCCTTCAAAACATTGCTCGTATAACCTGGGCACAGACGATTAAGTTAAGTAATGCTACGGTTAGGAAACGAGTAGTAGGTAGGAATGGTAAATCAATAGATGAAGTATTGAAACTTCATGAGTTGAAGTGTGACAATCAGTGATCCAGACCATTCAGATGGATATTGTCCAGTTCCCAGATACTACTACCTAAGATTTGAGTCATCCTAACTACTAAAACTGGACCACCGTGTTTAAAAATCCACTGCTTCTCCCTAACCTTATGGTAAACAGATATCACTGCTGTTTCTGTGGCATTTGGATATCAATACAAACTCCTTCAGTGTGGGAACCACCCTCCATCAGTGGCTGATTGGAAAACGAGTACTAGGTAAGGATGGAAGAACAATAATGAAACTTCATCAGTTGTTGAATGGCTAGGACACATACATATGTTACGTATGTCCAATCACCGACTACCTCGACATGCAATCTTTAGTGTACTCTGAATAGACAATTCAACTTCTCTCTCTCTCTCTATGTACTAATATAGTACGATAATATGTACATACGAAGTCTTACAATGTAATTGATTGACTAACTAACTATAGTACAATTGTTGTTTTATGATGAATAAACTAGCTAAGACGCACACACACACACACAGAGAGATAAAGACAGACAGACGACAACAACTTACAGCTATAGTAATTTTGCCAATAATATTTTCTGGTATTCTTGTTTGTAAATAATGATAAACAAATTTATAAAATTTATCTAATGATGTTGACATTAATTCCATACATATCCAACAATCACCTTCAGTGAATAATGCACCATAAAATAAAACAATATTTGAACAATTCACTGAATTCATTACAATGTCTAAATCTTTCAATGTGGATTTTTGTTCACGTTCATTTAATGTTGAACGTATACGCTAAAAATTGTGAATTATTAAGAAAATTAAAAATTTTTTTAATGAATATTGAACATTGAACAAAATAATTAAAACAAAAAAACGCATTTGTCAATCATGGATGCACACTGCTGAAAGTGCTGGGTTCGATTCCTGCGGGGTGCAAGAGTCGTGGATGTGCACTACTGATGAGTTAGTTGTTCTATATTAGGAAGAAAACGGACGTCCAGAGTGCTTTCCAAGTTTCTAATACTTGTGGTGCTCTAACAATAATTGATGATTACAAATGTGTAAAAACGCAAACCTCCAAAACTGTGCCCCAAAATATCGTAACATATGTTCACTAGTGACTAGTAAGTAGCTTCGTGAGAAAATTCTCAGAGTTCTAGTTGAGAAGACATGTCCACCACTAGTGGAGTTCAACCCTGTCGGGTGTCCGGCAGTAACTACTACCAAAGACAAATAAATGGGTGAGGTCACGCAAAATCCCTCGCGATCAATCAGAGTTAGACATTAACACCGTTGGATATCGGCCAGTCCAGTGGTCCGATAGTTTAGGCGTTCGCGCACAATATCGAATGTTCCGGGTCCGAATAACTGCGAGGTGCAGCAGTCGTGGATGTGCACTGACGATGATTAGTCTCATACCATGACAACACAGCCGTCCAGTGCTTTCAGGATTCTAATGATGGCAATCTAACAATGATTGATTGATGATTTCAAATGTGTAATAAGACACAAATCTCCAAAACTCTAACTGAAAATATCGTAACATATGCTCACTGGTGACTAGTAGTTTCGTGAGGAAATTTTCGGAGTTCTAGTTGAGAAGACATGACCACCACCAGTGGAGTTCAACCCTGTAGGGTATAGGCAGTAACTATCAAAGAGAAATGGGTGAGGTCGCGCATAACCCCTCTTGATCAATCAGAGTTATACATTAACACCGTTGAATACCGGCCAGTCCAGTAGTCCGATGGTTAGGCGTTCGCGCACAATACAGAAGGCCCCAGGTTCGAATCCTGTGAGGTGCAGCAGTCGTGAATGCTCACTGACGATGATTAGTCTCATACCAGAACGAAACGGCCGTCTTTCAGTGCTTCCAGGATTCTAATGGTGGCAGTCTAACAATGATTGATTGATGATTTCAAATGTGTAATAAGACACAAATCTCCAAAACTCTAACTGCAAATCTAAGAGTTATATATATACACTAGACATTCAAAAACAAATTAGATCATTGTGAACTATTCAGTTGAGGTAATTTACATTTGTCCATGTTATTGTTAGTATATTCATTAAATATCCTAAAAGAATTAATTATTTTTGTAAGTCTAACTCTATTGGTTAATTCCTATTGGTCATCCAAGCTATCACAATGTCACGTAATTATTCAAATGTTGTTTCCCATTGGTTGTCCAAACTGTCAATGTCATATACTTCAATGTTATTTCCTAACTGTATAAATAAATACGCATTATTTTCTGTAACGTTCCATGACCCAGACCCAGATCCTTTTCCTCTTCTGGACTCAGACCTCATACCTCCTGGATGCTTGTAAAATACATGTTCTACTTCATATGAAGTCTTCTTCTTTTACTACTCAATAGGGGGTTTGAGACAATCGAATTCGAGTAGACTGTCGTGAATGATTTGAATTGCATCTCTCAACACAATTCTTCACTTGGAACTCTTAATTAAGGTTAAAGACGAAGACTGTTAGGATATTCACCAAATATCCTAAGAGTACTATTTTTAGAAGTGTAATCCGATTGGTCGATTTCTATTGGTCAAAATTATGGTCTTTCTAACTGTCAAAGTCAAATACTTCAATGTTGTCTCTTATTGGTCATCCGGACTGTCAATGTCATTTCAAATGTACTTTCCTATTGGTCGTCCTGAACTGTCAATGTCACAAACTTAGATGCTGTTTCCTATTCGACCTTAATGTATAAATACGCACTATCTGTAAGCCTTCATGATTCAGATTCCAATTCCGTTTCTTCCTGCCTACCTCTCTTCTGTACTCGACCCAATAAACAACTCCATCCCACGGTGTTGCGCGTTCTGATATATAGGAGATTTAGAAATAGCATTTTGGGTCATCTTGGGATATTTGAATTGGACGCCGCTAGGACTGAATAGTTCTATACGTAGCAGCGTTACAACAAAGACTAAGCGATATATTACGCCAAGAAATAGAGAAAGATAATATGAGAGAAGAATGAACAAGGAAAAAAACTAGTAATAACTGGAAAGCAAAGGCCAGGACAGAGTTGATTGGAGAAAACAGGGTTGGTGGCCTATGTTCCATTGGGGGGTAACTGGCAGGCGTAAGTAAGTCAGTAATAAATAAATATATATATATATAAGTACTTTAACTGCTATGACTGTTTTCGTAGGTTCATGCATCATACGATTAACGAATCCATATGCACCACGACCAATTTCTCCTTCATCTATCAGATCTTCCGTTGAAAATTTCTTATTTTTTTAAAGAGACAAACAAAACAAAATGAAAACATAAAATAGAAATTTGAACAATATACAATACTTGAAACAAAAAAAAATTATTTTTCATTAAATAACTAACTCATCATGTATTAGCGAAATTATTTTAAGCAAAGTATGATTGTATCATTCATTCTCAACTCAGAAGATTGCGCATTGATAGGTGGAACACTTTAGGGATCAATCATCACAGTTCAATCTTCAGCCTTCACAGTAACACTTCATCAATTAGGCCTATGCGTAGAAGATATTCGTAGGTTACTGGTTTTCGATCACAGGTGTCTTCGAAGCATTGCTAGTATACCCTGGGACACCCGAGTGAGCAACGATGTTATTAGGAATCGGGTACTAGGTAAGATCAATAGATGAAGTGCCGAAACTTCATCAGTTGAGGTGGTTGGGACATGTGTTGCGTATGCCTAACCACCGACTGCATCGTCGAACTTTGTTTTGTAGTGTAGGAATAGGTTGGAAGAAAGTTAGGGGTGGCCAAACCAAAACATGGCACAAATCCACGAAGTCATTGACTAGTGGACTGAGCCATGTCGGTAATTGTCGACTACCTGGTTGGGGTCCGCAAGATGATAATAATCGAATGTTAGAGACCTTGAATGACATGGCTCAAAATCGTTCGCAATGGCGCCGGTGCATTTATTATTTGTGTTCTCTCAAATCCTAATCTTCTGGATTCTTCAACACCTCTAGTTTTTACTTTCTAAACTTTTCTCGCTGAATCATACTTCTTGAATAATATCTTTTAATCCTAACCTCTTCGATTACTTCTAATATCTTTACTACCTATTCTACTATTGGATTTGAATTGACAATTATATCTCTGTGCTGATGTGGTATGGCGACATGAACTGATGTACTTATGTACAAAGTTCTACGTTGCATCTGACTGACTGACTGACTGACCTATGCGTAAAAAAACCAGTTTGCAAATGGCACAGGTGCATTCATTCTGACTACTTCTTAATACATTTACTATTTCTACTAATACTACTACTACTATTGGATTTGAATTGACAATTACATGTCTCTGTGTGCTAATGTGGTATGGTGGCCTTGAATTGATGTACTTACGTACAAAGTTCTACGTTGCTATTGATTGACTGATTGATTGATTGATGATCCCCAATCATCTTGAATGGTAAGCCCAGTAGATAATCACTAATGCGTTATCTAACCAAACGAGACAGTAACGATTCGGAAAGATAGGGACACTAGGTCAATGCCTCTTGGTTGTCACTGTCTATGTATGTTTACACTGATTATAGCTTGTATGAAGTAAAAGACGAATTTCACAGAAAACATTTCGGACATCCTTTAAAAAGTGAGGTGCACTGATGTAGCAATAGTCGTGGGTGACTTTATTACTCAAGAAGGTAGATTAAACCCAAACCGCAACACAACTTGAGTGAATTTTATGGCCTCGAGACTATCCGTTGCAACTATTCTCAGATAACAGCCTATTTATGGAAAATAATGAAATATCAGGAACTTCTGTTGAGAAGATGACCATCAAAAATCGACTAAAAAACTGGGACCCAAACAAACATATCGCTATCAGCAACTGATTGAGATGTCATAAAGGAGAAAACCACTAGTTCTAGAGCGAATATTCATATTCAGATCACGCTCAGTTTGATGCCCTCCTAGGGCTACTGCCAGTCCAAAGAAATGTTAAAGGAGGACAGAAAAGCATGGGGATAATGAACCCATCCAACAGAAAAACAAATTTGCTAAAAATGTTAGGTCTTCTGTTAAATAAGTTATGACATAGCGCGATGGAGGACGAGCTCCTTTGGAAGTCAGGAGGTCGATGCTCATTCTGATAACCAGAGCAATCATCAATTTAAAAACATGAGATGTTCGCAAAATGCAACACACGAGAGAGTCAACCAGGTTTCTGTAGAAATGGAAACACACAGTCAGTCAGTTACAACATAGAACTTCGTAAGTACATACACCTGTTCAAATTGCCATTCCACATTAGCACAGGGATGCAATTGTCTATTCGAATCCCATTAAAGCAGAGATTAGGGTTTCAAGATATTATTCCAGAAGTATAATTCAGTGGGGGTAAATTTAGAAAGAAAAACATAGAGATGATGAGGGGTTCAGAAGATTAGAATTTTCGAGAACACAATGAATGGATGCACCGGTACCATTGAAAACGATTTTGAGTCATATCGTTGAAGGTCTCTAACGATCGGCTGGTATCGTCTCACAGACCCTAATCAAGTAAGTTTACACCTACCAACAAAGCTTAGTCCCTTTGTCAATGACTTCATAGATTTGTGCCATGTTTCGATCTAACCACCCCTAGCGTTGTTTCAACTTACTCCTACTCTACAAAACAAAGCTAGTTGAGGCAGTCGGTGGTCAGGCACACAGAACACATGTCCGAACCACTTCAGCCGTAGAAACAGCAGTGATATCTGTTTGCAAGGTAAACCATAAGGTTACGGAGAAGCAGTGGATTTTTAAACACGGTGGTCCAGTTTTAGTAGTTAGGGTGACTGAGATCTTAGGGTTGTAGTATCTGGGAACTGGACATTATTCCATCTGAATGGTGTGGATCACTGATTGTCCTACTTCAACTCATGAAGTTTCAATACTTCATCTATTGATTTACCATTCCTACCTAATACTAGTTTCCTAACTATAGCATTACTTAACTTAATCGGCTGTTGCAGGATATACGAGCAATGTTTTGAAGGTATCTTTAATCGAATTCTAATAGCCGACGAATGTCCTTCACTCTTAACGGCCATGTTTCGCATTCGTATAGTAGGACATGACGAACTGCTGCACAGTACACTCTTGCCTTAGTCAGCAAACGGATATTTCGCTTACGCCGCGGGCGACGCAAGTTGCCAGTAGTCAGTCGATCCTTGTGTATGCGTGCCGAGATTTCGTCAGACACCAAGACATCAACCCCACCTTAGTTGCTATCTTGATGTGGTGGTCGGGCTTGCCTATCGTGATGATCCAACAGAGCTATATTAGCTGGAACATATGTTCCTGAAGGTTGTACCATGCCAGGCAGGTCGATTGTAGAACGATGAGACTAAAAGCAGCTACTCAAGGTCTGATGGCGAAGTCATACTGCTGACTGTGATGGAGGGTTGTGACAGCAGTAAGGTGTTTCCCTCGGAAAACAAGCAGCATCTACAGCGATGCTGCCTTCTCAGAAGGAAGGGTTAGAAAAGGGCGACCCTGAAACTGTCACACCTCAACTTACCTCACGGATTTCCGTCTACGGTGGTAAGGGTGTCCATTAAGGGCTTTCGTAAAAGGCGGGGCTAATACTCAAAAAACCTTTCATAAAAAAGCCGTGTGTGACCGGCCTCAATCAGTTGTCTCCTGAGCTCTGCGGTCACGCTCCCTGGTCTCCAAGAGAAACACTTATATACCTTCCTTTTCAGGTTCTTGAAGAAACACCCTTCCACGGTGTGGGCAGCCGGGAAGTGACAACCGCCCTTATACCCGTAACAGTACACGAGACCAAATTGGTCAAAATCAAATCCTTCCTACATCCCCTAATACCTCTCTTATCTCCACGATAAACTCTTCTCACATTCCTTTATCACACTGCACAGCTGATGCAAACGATGCGGGTTTATAAAACGTCATTTCTTGTCTCCTGAAACCCCGTTCTATACTACATGCTGGAGCATTTAGTGTACGGACATTGTGTCAAATAGGGCAACAGGCTTTGTTAGCCAGGACATTAGAATGTTATGGTGTCGCCGATAAGAGAACAGACAATCGCGACCGTCTGTTGCAGCTGTGCTCAGACAACCGCCTAGCAAACACTAAATTAAGGTATAAGATAAAACACCTTTTGACATGGTGACACCAAATCCGACCCAACGCTGGACCCAACTAGATCATATCGCAATCAGCCACCGATGGAGGAGTTCGGTACAGGACTGTCGCTTGTTGTAGGGCACATGGTTAGATATAGATCATGCCCTAGTGCGAGCTCGTATTTGTTTGAGGCTTACTGGACGTAGGAAAGACACTAAGAAAGACTTAGGATTTTACTTAATGATAATAAGGCGAAGAATATATTTCAGGAACAACTTGAAAGAGAGTTAGGCAACCATGTAAGTGATTTCCATCCGGAGGCAGGTTGGAATCATATCAAGAAGGCTGTGGAAACAGCAGTGATATCTGCTATTAAGGTTAACCATAAGGCTAGAATGAAGCCGTAGATCTTTGTAGCATCCACTGAACTGATGGATGCTCGAAAACTCATCCCACCTGGCTCTGAACATGGTAAAGAACGAAGTCAGCTTAAGCGCAGGCTGATAAAAAGCCTGCGCAACGACCGTGAACAGTGGTGGGTGGCGAAAGCAAAAGCGATAGAGAAGGCAGCGGCGATAGGCAACAGTAGACAACTCTTCCGACTTATCAAAGAAACTGGTATTAGGAATCCTAATGTAAGTGAGACTATCTCGGAAAAGGATGGGACTACTATTTATTCTCAATCCAGGAGACTGGATCGATGGGCCGAACACTTTGAGAATCAGTTCAACTGGCCTTCAGACACACTTCGGTTACCAACGATCTCCAGTCATCCTGAATGGCAAATCGACGTAAGCCCTTCGAACCGTTATGAAGTTGAAAAGGCTATAGAAAATCTAAAGCGAGGGCGAGCAACGGGTCCTGATAGGCTTACCGCTGAGATTTTTAAGGAAAAACCAGGCTGGCTCTATAGACCACATTTTCACTCTTCTTCAGATTTTGGGACACGGACACACATTTAGGCGTCCGACAATAGTTGTCCTCCTGGACCTTAAGGCGACATTTGACTCTGTAGATCGTGAAGTTCTGTGGTAGTGTCTGTCATTAAAAGGTGTACCAAAGAAGTACATTAACCTTATACAAGCTCTCTACTCGAACACTACAGGTCGAGTGAGAGCTTTTGCCGAACCATCATTGGAATTCTATACTTCAAGTGGCGGCCGTCAGGACTGTCCACTCTCTCCATTCTTGTTTAACTTAGTGGTAGACATGATTTTAGAGATACCATTATCCTCGTTAGATTTTTCAGGAGTAGACCTTCTACCGGGAGGCTCGCTTATCGACTTAGAATATGCCGACGACATAGTTCTATTCGGTGAAGACGCTGACAAAATGCAGTCTCCCGACTACCCTAAGCAACAATGCAATCATGTTTGGGATGCGGATCTCACCCTCGAAATGCAAAATTTTGATTTAACACTGGGTTGCATCGGTACCGGAACTAGCAATTGGGAGTGAAGTAGTTGAGCGTGTTGACCGCTTCGATAATCTCGTGAGTCTCATCAGTGCAGATGGCCTGGTGACTGACGAAATCTCAGCACGCATACAGAAAGCTCAACTGGCTTTTGCCAACCTGCTTTGCTTACGGCGTAGGTGAGATATGTGTTTGCTAACCAAAGGACGATTGTACTGTGCAGCAGTTCGCTGCGTTCTCGTATATTGATGCGAAACAGGGCCGGTAAGAGTAGAAGATATTCGTAGGTTACTGGTATTCGATCACGGATGTCTCCGACGCATTGCTCGTGTATAGTGAGATACTCAAGTAAGCAATGCGGGTTCTAGGTAAGTATGGAAGATCAATAGGTGAAGTATTGAGATTTCATCAGTTGAAGTGGTTAAGACATGAGTTATGTATGCCCGACCACCAACTGCCTCAACGAGCGATGTTTTGTGGAGTAGGAGTAAACTGAAACAACGCCGGGGGGTGATTAAATCAAAACATGGCACAAATCCATGAAGTCACTGATAAGTAGGCTGAGTCATGTTGTTGTTAGATGTAGACTACCTGCTTGGGGTCCGAGAGACAAAAGTCACCGATTGTTAGAGACCTTCAACGACAAGGCTCAAAATCGTTGGCAATGGAACAGGTGAATCTATTCATTATGCTTTTTTTCAAATTCTAAACTTTTAAACCCGTCATCATTTTCATCTTTCTCTTTCTATATTAACCCCCACTGAATTATAGTTCCGGGATAATATTTTCAAACCCTAATCTTCCCTACTATGGGATTTGAAACGACGATTAGTTCTCAGTGCTAATGTAGAATAGCAACTTGAACAGGTGTATGTACTTACGAAGTTGTACGTTGTAACTGACTGAGTGACAGATGCAGTTGAATTATGAGCAGTAATGTAAAACATTAATGTTCAAAAATATTATCCAATAATTATAACTCAGTGGTTTACAACATAAAGTCAATTTCATTGACGTACCAAATCTTGACAAATATTTGGAATTGTTAATTTTCCTTGACACGAATGATATTTGCATTCCCTAAATTGTAAAAAAAAAAACGGAAACGGAACATTGTAAAGCAGGTGAAGAAATAGAAGTAATCTAATCATAATCAGTGTGGGTGTGTTAAAGAAATACATTTTATCATTTGTAACACATTGTAGTGTGCCGATGCATCTGCGTGTTCTTATAGCTCGGTTTATAAATCAGAAGATGAACTCGTATTGATGAATACATTTATTCGAGGCACACCACAAAGCGAAGCGGAGAAGCGAATTGGAGAAGACTAAGAGCCAACTCAAAGAGATAGAGCATGACTAAGAATATATAGTCAGACCAAAAATAAGACAGAAACATATGACAAGCGAAATAGGCATGCACAGACATGAATAAAAGCGACGAATGATTGACATGGTCAAATGACAAGTGATACTAATCATGTGAGTTCACCGGGATATTAAGAGATTAACATTAAAGTGAAAAGGATGAGTAAGCGCGTAGGCGTAAGTAATGCTCAGTCAGTGGTACAAGCTCATACAAAACAGATCATAAAAAATACCAATGGTACATATGAGTTGTTGCTGTATATATAAACGGCTTGGTTAAATAAATTAATAATCGAAAGGGCTTAACCCCAAGTTAGAAGATGTAAGCGAACTGGAATATTATATGTGGAGAGGCACTACAATACAACATAACAAAACAACACTTACGCTGTGAATAATTCTTCCGACTTCAATTGTCCCATAGTAGTAGTACTGGATCGACCAATTAATTGAGGTCGACAAGACATTGTTTTAATACTATATATATATAAATATATTCAATCTTTCCCCCCTTAAATTATCTAAACAATTCTATGAAAATATAAATGTTATTTTTTTAACAGGAAACTTGTTAATCACTTGATTGTATTCATGAAATTGTTTTTTTCGGTCATGTGTAGAATAACACTTTTCATTACAGTCAATAGGCATACATATTCTTCAATGAGCAGTTGGATTAAGACAAACAGATACTTGCTGAACTGATTTGATTATTTAAAACGAAGTTGACCTGTTTATGCCATCTAAAAGAAATTTTAGTGATGATAAGTCATAAGCAATAAATAACATACAAGTAATAATATATATATATATGTATATATGTATATATATATATATATATATATATATATAGTATTTCAACTCGTTTTTTAAACTTTTCACAGGGTTTTTTAAAATAACCAAAAAATTTTTTAAAATTTTCACAGCGTTTTTTGAAAATTTTTTGTAATCCTTAGAATGTCAGAAATAAATAGAAAAAAAAACAACTTGATTTCGAATGAAAAAAGAAAAAGCCTTATATAAAAAAAGTTATTGAAGATGGATACAGACAGCGTCAAGGATGCGGCATTTCTTACAGATGTAAACTATTCTCAGGCCGCTACAAATATTATATATAAGGTTGTATACATGAAAAAAGGAATCGCGAATTGAGAAGAAAAAAAACAGGAAAACCATCAAATAAGAAGATATGCAGTGATATTATCAATTTTGTTTGAAGAATTGATATAGAATTAAACCCGTTAATAACGATGGTAGAAATTCGAGAAAAAAATAGAAAACATATTTTCTATAGGCGCCTTTCTCTTGAATCTATATAAGAAGGATAATTTATAGACTTCAGATTACTTTGAAAAAGATTTCTTATACATCGGTCAATATAAATTCGGAATCCAGTAAAAACAAACGCTAAATTTATGCTCAAAATTTTATGAACATTGAAGATACATTTAAAAAAGTTTTTATAGATGAATCTTCTTTTAATTTGTACTTAAGAAGAAGCTTGGGAAGATCTACAAGAGGAAAACCGGCAAGTGCCCTAGTTCCATCAACACGTGGAACCAATCAATATACGTTTAATATCGGCTATAACAGAAAATGAAGTTCTCTTTGCTAAAACATTTGTTGATTCGGTGAATTCAGATAAGTTCATTCAGTCTTTTGGTTATTTTAAAAAACCCTGTGAAAAGTTTAAAAAACGAGTTGAAATACTACATATATATATATATATATATATATATATATATATATATATATATATATATTATATATATATATATATGCTATAAATAAACATGAACAGAAAAATACGTAAAGTCAACAGATATCAGTTGAAATCTGATGAAACTATTATTATCAACATAAATGTCACATGAATATGCAATTGTTCCTAGCTGAATGTTTTCATTATCACCAACACTTTCTTCCTTTCTTTCATGAGTTATAAGTTGTATGTTCCGAAATGCACTACTGGTACAGATGAAGTTGGAAAGAGACTGTTATTCCTATCAAAACTATCCTAATTGATTTCGCGCGTATATATATACATTGTTTTCTCGCACCTATGAAGTTCTCTATGTGATTGAGAAGAATGAAATGTAAGTATCTGCCATGGGATTGTATGTTCTGACATTGCTTCACCACGTTGTTCGTGTAGTTTATAAGTGAAAGGACTTGAGAAATTGTTTCCTGTTAAACACAACTTGCATTAATTTCAGCATTAGGGTATCGTATCATCCTAGTCCACAAACGAACGCAATGATTTGTATGGCGTATATACGCTTCGGTGACACATTGTACCAAAATGTATGTTTTAATTAATACATTTCAGTTGTATACTAATGAATTAACATCGCCATTTATCAGTCAGTTGCAACGTAGAACTTCGTACGTACATCAGTTCATGTTGCCATACCACATCAGCACATAGAGATGTAATTGTCAATTCAAATCCAATAGTAGAAGAGGTAGTCAAGGTATTAGAAACAATCGGAGAGGTTAGGATTAGAAGTTATTATTCAAGAAGTATGATTCAGTGAGAAAAGTTTAGAAAGTCAAAACTAGAGAGAGGTGTTGAAGAATCCAGAAGATTAGCATTTGAGAGAACACAAAGAATAAATGCACCGGCGCCATTGCAAACGATTTTGAGCCATGTCATTCAAGGTTTCTAACCATCGATTATTATCCTCTCGCGGACCCCAACCAGGTAGTCGGCAATTACCGACATGGCTAAGTCCATTCGTCAATGATTTCATGGATTTCTGCCATTTTTTGGTTTAGCCACCCCTAGCATTCTTCCAACCTACTCCTACAATACAAAACAAAGCTCGACGAGGCAGTCGGTGGTTAGGCATACGCAAGACATGTCCCCCACCGGTTTATAGTAAGACCGCTCTTTGGCAACAATAATTTCTACATAAAGAGAATATTTGAAGAAAAAGATTATGTTAAAATTTTCTAGTTGTTAACAAGGTAAATAATTTGTTGCTCTCTTCATGTTATCAATGAATCCGGTCATTCAAAAAACAATGCAGAAGATGGAATGAATATGCAAACACTCAAGGTGATGGATCATCATATGGCTACAACAAGTAGAAATCAAAAAGATGAAAAGAAGGGGGGGAAATAGTAATGTCCACGATATTATTGAAATGATAGAATACCGTTTATATGGTGTATTACTCGTTAATGCAATATCAAGTCACATGTATAAACACAAAAATAAGCAAAATGTCGACTAATAATGTTCAAAATCAAAAGTCCGCTGGTCAGCAGGCACAAAAAATGTTTATTTCAGCTGTAACAGAGGATATTTTATGGAAATTTTAGAATAAGCTCCTGATAACCTGAACCTGACAACACAGAACTCTATTTAGCCCTCGACGGTGTTTCGAAAGTGATTTTCAAAATCCGTTTCGAAAATTTGTCAATCCATTGAAGTTGAATCTTCGGACAGTTCAAGTAAAGGTGAAATAGGATAATGGTAAGATAGAGATAACATTGGAGCTTAAGATCTAGAAGATAAGAAGTAAATACAATCAAGAAACTACGATTGATTTTCAGCCATTTTATTCAACAAGAAATTACACTTGACAGGTTGATTTAAATATCTTTTGATAAGACCTGACCATAAAGGTCACATTCGAAATTGCCATGTTCAGGAGCGTCTTGTAAATAGATCGAGATAAAACTGATGGAAGTAAAAAGCAGAGGATGAGGGTAACTAAATGCGAGTGGATGGTTGAGTTAAAAAACGGTTGCAGGATTAGTGGCATCAATAAGCATGAACTGGTGAATGTTGATGTGTTGAAGAATCAACTAATGACTAAAGATCGATACACTTGCGCCACTGAAACCAATTTGGGCAATTTTAACTTTTGTCATTGATTCTTCATAGTTAATTTGAGGTTACAACCAGGATATTAGGATGCATACTTAAAGCTCATGATGTCTGACGTTTGCGAAGAAACTTCAACTACTCTCTAGGGTCAGCAAAGTTTTTGGATTCAGAAATTAGGTCCAATGTTTTCGTCACAAGCTAACATAATTCAAACTGTCAAAATGTCATCAAGGCCTAATATGTCCCGATTTTAGCATTTTCATCCCTCGTTTTCTTTACTTTACAAGAAAAACTACGAAAAGGCAACTGCATCATAGCTGACGTTGATTTGTGATAAAATGCCTAACTTCAGTTCACATTTCTATTTTACAGCCCTAACAGAACTCTTTACATATAACTTACACCCTTTGACGTTAGCTACTGACTAAAGCCGCGAATACCAACCAAACTAGTAAGTAGCGCAAAAATTGTAAGTTACATTCCAATATCCAATAACTTTCTCATGGGCTAGTATAAACCGATTGATCTCTTTTCACTAGATTCTTTTTCTTTCAGTAACATTCTAGGTATTAGAAAGTGTGCAGTTGCTAGGCTGTATAATTTTAGTCAGTTGGCAGTTGGTTGTGAGTTTATATGTCCCCATGATTTGAATGAATACGTTTGTTTCAAGGCGGTTTGCTATTTGGATACTAGCAGCTATCACATAATCAGACAAGAGATCAGTTGGTTGCGACGTGCAGAATAATAAGGAGAAATTTTCAGTTTTAATTAGAAGATTTCAGAACTAAGTAAACAAACAGATAATTTAGTTTATTAATTGGTAGTGAAGACTGTACAAGATGACCGAAGAGTAAGCAAGGGAAAGGAAACAGAGATAATAGGCGAGAAAAATTGAGTTAGTGATCTATGGACATGGCAATAATGATAACCCTTATTGAGTACGTGGTTTTCAAGTCTCTCTTTACAGCTCTCTGAGAGAGAGAGAGCATTCCAAGTTGCTACGACTCTGTTGACAAACATTGTGCACGAACCTGCGTATTCACTCTTTGATGCACAATTTTTCGAGGATTTCCTCGGGGGAGTGGTGATGTTGCATCGGTAGAATGCTCTCGTTGGTATGTTTTGGCGTGCATAATATGTTGTACATCATAAGTAGATCACCTCTGGATCTCACGTAACTCAGGAGGAATAATCCCAAATGCTGAAGTCTGTCTTCAAATTTTTCGTCTTTATCACCCATTTCATTGCTCGTCTCTGCACTTAATTCAAGAGATCTATATCTCTGTTGGGGAGAAGTGGTGTGAAGACATTCTGAAACTCAAGGTGAGCGTTCAGTATAACTGTGAGGTGATAGCATCAAGTTGCCTTTGTACAAAGTAAAGAGTTTCATTAGCGTTGTATGCCTCCCCAAGATACTTCGAACTGGTGTAGAGGCTTTCTGTGGTTATTAAATCAAGATCACCCTCTGTGGATACATTAGGGAGCGGACGTCCGTTGGGGTAGTAAACCGTTTGCGTCAGGTGGAGCAGAATAGACGAGACGTGAAATTTCGGCAGGTTTAGTTTTAAACCGTTTTTACTGCCCAGTCCTCAACAGATGTAAGGTATTTAGGGAGCTGAGTCGAATTCTTTTCGCTCCTAATTGATCTGCAGATCTTCGCATCTGCGTAGATCAATGCCAGCGAGCTGTGTGCAAAAGGTCGTTATTGAATATCAGGAAGATAAGTAGACCTTAGATGGTCCCCTGTGAAACTCCCGATGTGGATACTCGCCAACCCGCATGCACTCTATTTGCCTTGATACGAAATTTCTAGGGGCTGTGACTAGTGGGTTTCGCAACCCGCATGTGCGGATTGTAACCTGTTTGCTGAGTTTTCGGTATGTGGAGTTGAAATGTTCGGGTAAGTGTGTTCGGTCAAGCCTCAGCAGTGTTAGTTGCAATATTTCGCAACTTTTCCAGCTGATAGAACAGTGAGAAGACGTAATTGATCACTGTTCTATCAAAATTTATAAAAGGGACTAATTGTTTTAAATTTTCTAGCTGAGTTTACTTACTTTAGAGAGTCTGGTAAACCCCCTCAATCAAGTATTTTGTATCATTCGTGTTGAAGCAGTACCAGGATTATTCTGTTGAGTGGGCTTGTCGCGTGCTAGTATGGCTGTTAATGTAGGTCGCCACATCGACACATCGAAATAGTGTCATGGCCTGCAAGCTCGCTTTATGTTTTACGACGTTGTGTGGTAATTATGTTTGTAATGGTGACTGACTGAATTTGCAGAACATAAAGCTAACTAATCAAAGTGTACTCACTCAAGGCAAGCCCACGAAACTGTAGAAGGAATGCTCTGCAAACACTGATCAAAACATACCACTAAATGTAAGACAGCTTAACATAACAGAAGGAAGAAGGGTGCTGCGTCTGACCATTAATCCTGACGGTGAGGCTTCAAACTCAATCCACCTATGTCTGAGGACCGGGCATTTTATTTACTTACGGCTGCCTACAATATAGCAGGACGTGAATGATCATTGACATTAATGTTTCCATTCTGTTTTAGCTGTTCCTAAGATCCATGTTTTTCACCACGGAACGATTTGCCTTCCTACTGAAAAATCTTACTACAATCTGATCTGAGCGATTATGTTGTAACAGCGCTCACCCGTGACTTATTGAGCGACGGTGTAAAAAAAATAAAAGGAATCCATGAAATTTAATCGGGGCATCGAATCATTGAACTTTATGTCAGAGTCTCAGCCGAAGTTGAGAACGGCTTATAAAAATGTTAGTCAGCCATAAACATTTACTTTGTCTCGTAAAATATCAGTCCAGCTGATCAACCTCATACGATAAATGTGTTCGCATCCATAACATTTTGATTTCGCCTATGGACTAGCATGCTTCATTTAAAAAATTATGGTACTGATTTCTCACTAGAACAGACGTCAGCAAACTCCACATCATAAAGCTTACGTATTTGGTCTTCCGATGGCTCTACTTTACTAGTATGATTAACAACTCTTCTCCTAAATTCCGGGCATGGTGTAGGTCCAAAAACGGCCCACTAAACAACGTTTTCACGGCTTATGGATTTTTCCTCTTACCTAACCACTGTTCTAACACCCAAAGTGCTCACGGCACGTCGCAACCAATCAACAGTAGACCTTCTTCAGAGTTTTGACTCTCTGTCGGCCACCTAACTGGGTTGTTCATTACCAACTTTGTTGTCTTATTCCCTGGTATACTCGACACAATCAAGGCTAATTCAATCCCAACATGCTCGGACCGATCTAAAGAATATAATTCAAAAGATTCGCTCGTAACCTTTGTCGTTCTCTGACAACCTACAGTCTGAACTATCACTTAAGCTTGTTCTTCCTCCAGCCCGAGTGACTTCAATCAATCTGACCTTATCAATGTTGAATCAGAACCGTTATACAAAAGATCATATCGCGCAATTTCGGAATTTCTCGATATTAGTCTTACGGGAATAATTCTTAGCATACTTGACAGCTGAGTGATCTAGTGAATCCAAAACAATTCTGTGTACCAGGTTTTTCACTCCATCTTTTGACTGTTGAATCATCGTGCAGCAGAGGGTGATGTTATTTCTCACACTTGTCGACGTTACAGCGCCTTGTGAGTTTACATTCATTAAGCTTATGCCCTTGCCTCAGACGATGCATATACCCTTGCTCCTTGCGTAAGACCATTTATCTTGAACTGTGAGCGCTAAAAATCGGAGACATTTATAAATGGCTTAGTCATCAGAACAGATACTACAATTAGCTTTTACGGAAGAAGAATTCCGCCGTCCCAATTGCAAGTGACAATTCATCTTCACGCCACGTCCCGTTTTTGGGCTGTTCGCCAACCGTCCAAATAAACTAATTGCTACTGTTGCACGATACGCTGTAAATTCGGTGACCTCGGCTAACGTCCGCTCTCGATCGTCTTCAGTCCATCTAATCGCCAGTTCCGACCATTGATCTTGTATAGGTTGAAGCAAAAGCATCACTATTCGGTCTAAAGTGGCTAGAGAGTTCAGATGCGCAATAGTATTCATTCGTTCCAAGACCATGTCACAATTTTCCATTCCTATGGCCAGGTTTGATAGCTGCTCTGCGTAAATATAATAAATATTTACAGGATTGAATAAATCTTCTAATGTTTCTCAGACTATTATTCGCGGCTTACAGAACAACCACTTAAAAATTCCCCTAGCCCTCTTATAACTAGCAGAGGCTTCCATAATGACAAAACCCTCAATGGCTGATCTTGCCTTACTCTTACGGTAGTGTATCAGATATAGCAACCACTGGCTATCGTCACTGAACCTTGATTCTATGTAGGTCGCGAACTGCCTGACAAACTTCCAATACCCTCTTGATTGGCTGATTTACCAAAATCATTTGTTTTAGTTCCAGCTGAGAAAGGAGCATATCTAAACTACCTAGACAGTTATTCTTCGGTCCAAACCTCTGTTTGGATCCTATAGTTCTAAATAAATTTTACCACTCAGTTGTTCCACTAACAATTGTTCAATTATTGCAATCAACAGCAACAAATAAATGTTATTCTATCGTTTCTGGATAGATCAGACTCGTTCGAAGGACAATATCTGGTGGTTTTATAACACGGTGTTTCCTATTCTGGAAGAGTGCTTCAATTCACAATCGAAATGCACAATTCCAGTCAATAAAAGCAAGTCAATCAAAGGACGTACAAGTCAATATGACCTTCACCATGACTAAGTATCAGCTTAAACAACAAATATGCAATTCCGAAGGAAACATAGACACTCACTGAAGGCAAAAGTAATCAAAACTATAATAAAATACAAATATTGTCATCTCAAGTGGAATTGAACTGATTATGGAAATGTACAACTGAAGGAATCAATAAAAACGAAATACAAATATATATATTGAGGGATTTTCACAAACAAAGCCTTCAGAGCGGACCTTACACTTCACACATTTCACTCGGTAATTCTTATTAAACGCGTCCCGGCTTTGTCTTGTATCGTTTCGCGTCCATTAGCACTTCGTCGCATCGCAAATGTCATAACTAGCCCCAATTATTCGCATTGTAAATTGCAGAGTCTAGAATTTTTTCTATAATTTTATATGGAAAATTTTAGCCATCTGTATGAAGCCATTGTAATAATAATAATTATTATTAGTAATCATTCGTTCAGAATGTAGCTGCACCAAACTGTTTATGGCGCAAGCATTCCATGATGGAAAATATCATATTATTAATCTTGTGGGGAAACCTAATACAGTAAATGTAGTGGCATTGTTAACTATCTGATAGTGACTGTGTAGTGGCATGCCTCATAGAACACTGTGATTTGAGAATGAAGATTGCTATTATTATCCACCTATCATTCCACTTTCCAGTTCTTCCAAATCTCCTCCATTTAAAAAGACATCTTTTTCATCCGTTACCATGCTAGTAACTTGTCT